CCACTGTACGGATGTGGTGGAGTCGACCTGAAGACAGTTGGTGTTGGAGAAGCTGTCAGCTGGATGTCTCTCATTGGACATATCCCAGAATAGATGTGCACCATTAAATATGTATGCTATTTCATGCTGTTGTTGGTGGCTTAAAATATATGTAGGGCCTAGGCATAGTTGCCATGTTTTTCACTAGATTCTAGAAGATACCATAGATATCTGCAGTGGTGGAAAAAGTACCCAATTGTCATACATGAGTAAAAGTAAAGATACCTTAATAGAAAATGACTCAAATAAAAGAGAAAGTCACAAAGTAAAATACTACTTGAGTAAAAGTATTTGGTTTTAAATATACGTAAGTATCAAAAGTAAATGTAATTGCTAAAATATACTTAAGTATCAAAAGTAAAAGTACAAATCATTTAAGATTCCTTATATTAAGCTGACTAAATGGCACCATTTTCCTGTTTTTTTATTTACAGAAAGCCAGGTGCACACTCCAACACTCAGACAATTTACAAACAAAGCATTTGTGTTTAGTGAGTCCACCAGATCAGAGGCAGTAGGGATGACCAGGGATGTTCTCTTGATAAGTGTGTGAATTGGACCATTTTCCTGTCTTGCTAAGCATTCAGAATGTAACGAGTACTTTTGGGTGTCAGGGAAAATGTATGGAGTAAAAAGTACATTATTTTCTTTAGGAATGTAGTGAAGTAAAAGTTGTCAAATTATAAATAGTAATGTACAGATGCCCCAAAAAACTACTTTTACTTAAGTACTTTACACCACTGGATATCTGACAAAGCAGTAAGTAACATGAGACTGTGGCTGGTTTGTTTCCGGTTGGTGTGGTTGATCACATTTCACTGACTAGAAGGTGTGTTTTCGTGGGAAAATGACATCTTTTCATGGAACACACAACTCCTAAGCTGTCACATGGTGTCATAGCCAGTGTGAGAACCTGTCACACACAACCCCCCAACACCAGGGCTCGTTTGGCCAATAAGACCTGGCCAGGTGAGGTGCTATAGGAGAGCTTGTCATGCTAGATAAGATGGAGATGATGGATAGGGGTCAGGGCACAGATACCTCTGTCCTTACCTTATCTCCTCATCTTATTTTACAACCATCTGAAAACACTAGATAAAGTAAAGGAAATATTTGGAGGCCTATATACACTTGCTTTCATCTATCGTCCAGTTCTGCAGGATCATTGCAAGTGACGCGGAAATGAAGCCATTTTGGAGAATTCAGATGCTGTGTTTGTTCCAGTTTCCTACCTGAGTGTGATGAGCGGTTTGTCTCACAGGTCACTGCGAGCCTGGCTCTGACAGGGGGAGATGGGTTGGTGTTGGATACCATGTTTGATTTACTGGGTTACTGTGTGTGTGTCATAGTCCTAGTCCTCTCATAGACAAAGGAGAGTTTGTTCCAGCGTCTTTCTTTCTTTCTCTCTCTCTCGCTCTCACACTCACACACAGGCATGTAAGGTGGCATTCCACTGCTCTCGGCCTGGGCCCGGTTTCCAAAAAGCATCTTAAGGCTAAGTTTATCGTTAGAACGTTCATAGGAGCATAGTTAAATCTCTGAGCTGTTTCCCAAAGTCATCGTTAACATTGCACTTGAAAACGCTGGTAATCTAACGCCTGCCTCAGACCACTTGTAGAACAGCTAAGTGCGTCGTTAGATGCTTTTCTGCTCTCCCGCATGACTTTATACAAAGAAGATCTCTGCTAAACATAGAATCACATGATTTATCCGTCTCTCTGTGACCACCGATAACTTCAGAACAAAATTGACTACAAATACAAAGTTGCCAATGTCTTTGCAACTGTTACAAACAAGCAAGTATAAAAAGATGGTTCAAATGAAAACCGAGATGACTGCATTAAAATATAAACAGTAGGCTATAGGCCTATTCCGACCATAGTGAAATACATTTCATGTTCAATCAATTGAGTTCTATTTTGCTACATGTAGAGTACTGTCATTTGTCTTAATATATTTCATGATGTGTAGCCTAACGTGCTCAATGATGTGCCAAATCAATGATTTAGTGCATTCTTATTAGAATAAGCTGCCTCAGTATTTGCAGCCGTAGGTGGTAATATCTCTCTAGGAGCTCCTCCGTCATCAGTATTGTGAAATAATTATAATATTAAGGAAAGATTTCAATGGAGAAAGCTGATCCGAGAGCAGGCGCTCCCTTTATGTCGATACTATCAGTATTGACACATGCTCCAATGACGCACTTAGCGAGCGTTCTCTCTGCGTGGTGTTTTGGGAAACATGTTATATCTTCAGCCGTTGTGAGATATGGGAGTCATTATTATGACATAGTAAGTCATAATAATGCGTTACTAAGTAATAATTGGGTAAACCATTTGAATTCAATCACTTTTTGACAGCTTCCCTTTTGATTTAAACAAAACTTCCATACATGTTTGCCCATGGAAGAAGTGGTCAGATAGTGACTTTTTTTTACCTGAATGCCAAAACATTCAGGAGATAAATGCGCTCAAAGTTGACCCATTTTACATACCCCACCATACCATGAGACACCCATGTCTTCGTCACTTGAAAATATAAACGGTTGAGTTTGATATCATTTAACAGCGTACAAACAGGGTTGTCAGATTATTTAATACTTTATTTAAAGAAATGTTTTTACCTTTAACGTCAATTATCTAAATATAAATTTAAACTCTGATTTTTTTTCTCCATATTCACATATGTTGTAGCTTAGACCCTACTTTACATCATCTGAGGTTTTTGTGTTGTGCCCGCCATCGGTTGAGGCACAACATGCTCTTGAATACAGGGTGGGTGTCATTTCAATCATAGAAATGGAATTCATAGAATGGACCTATCCCTTCAGACCACTGCAATTTAGCTGGTACACCATTGAAATTTAAATTTAAATGTTAACTTCTAATTACTACCACAAAGACGGAGGCCAGTCCACCCACTGTTGTCCACCCAATCTACTATCCCCCATAGTAAAAAAGTTGACCTATTCTGTACGATAAATAAATATTCCAAACATAGTCTGGGACAGTTGTGGGATGCAATAGATCCCAAATTAATACAACCACTAGCATCAAAAAACATTTTCTATGCAATGAGGCTGATGCAACAGATCAGAATGTTTAGCTTACATTTTTTATAAACTATTAGACTATAAGCTATTTCTTCACTTTATAAGCACAGCAAGGCGCACACGGCAGTAGGCTATAGGTGGGAATGTTCCATTAGCGGGAAAACACCATTATGAAAAGTGACCGCAAATGCAATTATGCATGTAATGGCTTTTATTATAAAGGTGCATTTTTATGATGAAAATTGAAAAGTGATAATATATAATTCAGAAGTGATAGGCTAATATTGTCACCAATCAGACTATTCCTGATTTAATCTTGTCTTTACATATACAAAATAATATGTGTGAAATTTGTTTTGATTTAGAATGGACCATTATCATGCACCTGTCTTGAAACAGGGGCAGGGGAAAAAATTACATTTGCATTGTTGTCAGAGTGATTAGAGGGTACCAGGCAGTTAGCAAGTTTGGTAGGCTACTAATGACCATCAGCAGCATCAGAGCTTGGGAGAAGCCAAATTACCATGACTAAACGGTCATGTGGAATCTGACTGCCTTCATGACTTGTGACCGCCGGTGTGGCGGTAATACGCTCACCAAAACAGCCCTAGTTGTGATTCCTTCTCTGTATGTGGTGGCGTTGTGTTCTGTTGCTCCCGAGCTCGCCCAGTGTTTGGCCTGTTTATACCACATGAGTAATGTTGGGGGTAGCTGGTTCGCAGGGAGGGGAGCTAGTGATGGTATATAAACTGCTATAATGATGGTTTGTTAAGAAAGCTGGAATTCTTGTGCTCATCAGATGAAGTCAGTGCATTCCTGCTGGGCAGCTCCCCTATAGATGGCCCCTGGACTACAGCCAATAGTCAATGAGTACAAACACCTCAGAGAGAGGAGGGGGAGGAGCTAGGCTAGGGGTTTGAGCTCAAACACTAGCTGTGCTGTGTGCCAGTTACAGAGCAAGTGGGTCATTTTATCTATTACTCATGTTGACATAACTTATGTAAGAGTCACACTGCCAGTGTGTATGGCCTTACTGAGTTATCATATGCCAAATGAGAAACTGTATAGTCTACTACTACTATCGTTAATAAAAGTTGTAGGTCTAGGTGTGTGCTTTACCACCCAAGGCTATTGACTTTACGAGTCAGGCAACGCATGTTATTGCCTTGTTATTAGTGGAATACAGATGAAGTAAAGTCATGAAAGGGCACACAGGGGAGTGGTTAGTGCTGTTCCTGTTCCTTATTGTGAAATCCACTTAGGCCTAAATCTCCTCCAGTGTTAGGAAACCTGCTGCTCTTCCCAGAGACAGTCTCTGAAGTTCCAGGTCTGCCAGGTCAGCTGCTGGTGGGAGGTATCAAAGTGGATCACACACACACTCACCTGTTCGCTGTTCTCGGCACTACGCTGAGAAGCATTTCATTGGGTTACAGATCTGCGTTGACGCTCTCAGGTCCGTGAGGTACCACCAGAGCTCCAACTAACCAACAGGAAACTTCAGGAACGCAACGCTCGGCTCCGCTCAGCTCAGCTCCCAAGGGGCAGTGTGCTGGAAATCTAAACCTCAGTCACGACTGGTAGACTCAGTCACACATATGCAGGGCCTGACGTCAATAAGGCTCTGTTACGTATAGTGCCTGTAGGAGAGATGTATAAACCCATAGCTTCAATACTACACAGAGGATGGAGAGAGAAATGGGCCAATTGTGTGTGACACAGCTGCCTGTCGTGTGTGTTAAACTTAGCAACAATATTATTCTGCTGTGTTTCGAGGGATTACTTTTTTCACCCCCTTTGGCTAGATAACGTTGTGGAAGTTTCACAAGTTCTGTGTAACATGTATTTATGTACTGTGACTAATTGATTGGTTGTGAGGGTGTTTTTTTAACCCTCCCTATCCATGTTTCTCTTCCCTGCAGAGTGGAGTCAGTAGTACCATGCAGTGCTGAACTGAGCCGAACCGAGCGAAGTGGATCTGAACTGAAGTCCTCATTGCATTTCGTAGCATCGCGTCTCAGATGGAGCTGAAGGTGTGGGTGGACGGAGTTGTGCGCGTGGTCTGTGGCCTATCAGAGGAGACTTCCTGCCAGGATGTGGTCATCGCACTGGCTCAGGCCATTGGTCAGTATCTCAGTCCCTCTTCCTCTCTGGGGTGCGAGTTCTTTCCCTCTAAACCCTAAGGCACTTTAGATCTAAAATAATTGGATAGGCATCAGCAATATGGTGAAAATCCCACTGATCAGAGGTCAAGGTGGAACCACTGTGTTAGATTTATTTATTTCCACCTATCCTTCCTTTCTGACCTCAATGAAGTGCCAAGGGGGAAGGGCGCTAGGGGTCGACTTGGTATAGAGCAAGCTTCTGTCACCACACCCTCAGGCTGTATTGAAGCCACTTACTGCAGTGCCAAAAAACGAAACCCCATATTTAGCAGCTTCCCTTTCCTCTGTGTGTGTGAGCGGCTGCCAGGTCATTAGGGAGAGCTTGTCCTCATTTCAGTCCTCATGGAGATTTCAGTTTGTTTGAACATGTTTATAAGTTGTATAAGACTTATACAACCGTCTTCTGCTCATATTTTTCATTGCTGAGAGAAAAGAGAGTTGCGTGAAGGACTGCAGAACTAGAGTTTAGTCTTGTATAGACATTAGCCATAGCCCATAGCCAGAGAGAGGGCAATGAGCTGTTAATGATACCCCCGTGATTTGATGTTGTGTTTCAGTTTTCTGACTACTCTTCCTGCCACAGGTCAGACGGGTCGCTACGTGCTGATCCAGAGACTGAGAGATTCAGAGAGGCAGCTGTTAGCCAATGAAAGGCCCCTGGAGTCCTTGGCCAAGCTGGGCCAGCACAGCAACGACGTCCAGTTCTTCCTGCGCCGCACCGGCCCCAGCAGCAGCGATGGACCAGGGTCTGGCTCTGGCTCCACCCAGGACCGTGTCGCCCCTCTTCCTCTGCCCAAACACCCCGAACCAGAGCCCCTCAAATGCACCCAGCCCAAGAAGTCCCTCACCTTTAACCTGGGGCCCTCCACGTCCCCCAGAACCAAAGCCAAGCAGCTCATCAGGAAGTCTCCCCGCGACTCCCCCAAAGAGAGGGCCTCACCAAGCCCCATTCCTCCCCACCATGCTCCTTCCCCCTCCCCACACACCCACTCCCCCTCTCCCTCTCCCTCCCCTCACTCTCCCTCTCCCTCCCCTCCTGTGGGCCCGTCCAAAGAGGAGGTCTTCCGGCAGATTCTTCAGCAGCAGGAGAGGCTGAGGGCCATTGAGGCCCAGCTGGAGGCCATGGAGAGAGACTCTCGGTCCTGGAACAGGGCCTCCCCGGCCGCCTCTCCTTCCCCTGTCCCAGAGGCTTGCCTCCAGGAGGAAATGGAGGCTCTGGAACAGGCAGCCAGGAGGAACCAGGCCGAGCTGGCCCACGAGACGTTCTGGCAGGAAGAGCTGCAGGCGGAGGTGGAGAGGGAGAGGGGGATGAGGAGGAGGCTGGGGGAGCTCCATGCCAAGATGGACGACTGCGGCCGGCGACTCCACGACTTCTCGTCTCGCTCCGCCCAGCTGGAGCAGGAGATCAAACGGGAGAGCCTGGGGGGCGGCGCCCATGCTGGGAGGGCCAATCAGGCGGGGGGTGAGGAGTCGCTAGGGGTGATGAGGGCGGAGCTACAGAGCCAGGGGAGGCACAGCGAGGAGCTGGAGGGGGAGTTATCGGAGACGGACAGGGCTATGGGGAAGGCCGAGTCACTGCTACAGGTAAGGAGAGAGGGCAGGGCCCTGGAGAGAGGGGTGTAACTCACACTCTCCTTCACCCACACTCCTATCCAGTACCCATGAGAAGGTTGTAGCTCAGTGGTTCACAAATGGTGGGTCAGTTGTGTGGGACAAACTAATTCAGACCTGGGAAACCAAGTAAGCCAATCAATGACATTAATCAATCAATTTGTATTTTTGTATTTGTATTTATTATGGATCCCCATTAGATGCTGCCAAGGCAGCAGCTACTCTTCCTGTGGTCCAGCAAAATTAAGGCAGTTCATACAAATTTTAAAAACATTACAATACATTCACAGATTTTACAACACACTGTGTGCCCTCAGGCCCCTACTCCACCACTACCACATATCTACAGTACACAAATCCATGTGTACGTGTGTGTATAGTGCGTATGTTATCGTGTGTGTGTATGCATGTGTCTGCGCCTATGTTTAATGGTAGTCCGCAGCTTAATTATCCTTGATCAAGGCAAAACATGTTATCATAAGAACATTTGAAACACTTAATCAAAACATTTTGCCAACCACTGGTGTAGCTACTACCCTCTCTCACCCAATCTTGCCAGCACACTGCAGCAAACACACACACATACACTCATCAGTGCAAGGACACTCAACAAATAAATATGGTCTCTGTCTCCCATGGTGATGGGAAAACCTATATTTATCGGGAAAAAAACATGCTCACCATTTACACAATGTTTTGTACTTAAATCAAACGTGTATCTAAATGTATGAATGTTTGCTATGAATTGCAATGGGACCCCTTTTGGGTGTCTGATGAACTGGCTTGACTGGTATGATTGGCTGTGACAGCTTAGTTCTCATCTGGACTGATTAGATACACTCCCCCATATCTGTACTCTCATTTGTATCACATTGACAGTACCTCTACTTCCTTATATTCTTGTATCTGAAATGGAGAAAAATATAAAAACAGAATAAAGGTCATTAATCCATTGCACAAGTGCATTTTCTTTGCTTAACTTTGACACAAGCAGGTCTGTCAGTGGTTGCTACTAGTTGGAGACAGTGATGTTGTTGTTGTATGTAGCTAATGTTATTCTAATGTATTTCATATGTGTTTCATATGGGTTGAGTGCATTTGCTACATCCCACATTAAGACGGGGCCATAGGTGCTCTTAGACCATTGCAACCCATCTCATGGTGATCCATAAGTAAAGGCTGTGCTACAGGCATGCTATGAAACAGTTTATAAGACCATGAAAAGCTCATTCGGTATCAGCTTGTCATCTGAGTTGGAGTGGGACTTGGTGATTAAGTCTGTTGGCTATATACAGTGCCTTGCAAAAGGATTCATCCCCCTTGGCGTTTTTCCTATTTTGTTGCATTACAACCTGTAATTTAAATTGATTTTTATTTGGATTTCATGTAATGGACATAAACAAAATTGGTGAAGTGAAATGAAAAAAATAACTTGTTGTGCGTGCATATGTATTCACCCCCTTTGCTATGAAGCCCCTAAATAAGATCTGGTGCAACCAATTACCTTCAGAAGTCACATAATTAGTTAAATAAAGTCCACCTGTGTGCAATCTAAGTGCCACATGATCTCAGTATATATACACCTGTTCTGAAAGGCCCCAGAGTCTGCAACACCACTAAGCAAGGGGCACCACCAAGCAAGCGGCACCATGAAGACCAAGGAGCTCTCCAAACAGGTCAGGACAAAGTTGTGGAGAAGTACAGATCAGGGTTGGGTTATAAAAAATATCAGAAACTTTGAACATCCCACAGAGCACCATTAAATCCATTATTAAAAAAATGAAATAATATGGCACCACAACAAACCTGCCAAGAGAGGGCTGCCCACCAAAACTCATAGACCAGGCAAGGAGGGCATTAATCAGAGAGGCAACAAAGAGACCAAAGATAACCCTGAAGGAGCTGCAAAGCTCCACAGCAGAGATAGGAGTATCTGTCCATAGGACCACTTTAAGCCGTACACTCCACAGAGCTGGGCTTTACGGAAGAGTGGCCAGAAAAAAGCCATTGCTTAAAGAAAAAAATAAGCAAACATGTTTGGTGTTCACCAAAAGGCATGTGGGAGACTCCCCAAACATATGGAAGATGGTACTCTGGTCAGATGAGACTAAAATTGAGCTTTTTGGCCATCAAGGAAAATGCAAACCCAACACCTCTCATCACTCCGAGAACACCATCCCCACTGTGAAGCATGGTGGTGGCAGCATCATGCTGTGGGGATGTTTTTCATCGGCAGGGACTGGGAAACTGGTCAGAATTGAAGGAATGATGGATGGTGCTAAATACAGGGAAATTCTTGAGTTAAACCTGTTTCACTCTTCCAGAGATTTGAGACTGGGACGGAGGTTCACCTTCCAGCAAGACAATGACCCTAAGCATACTGCTAAAGCAACACTCGAGTGGTTTAAGGGGAAAAATTTAAATGTCTTGGAATGGCCTAATCAAAGCCCAGACCTCAATCCAATTGAGAATCTGTGGTATGACTTAAAGATTGCTGTACACCAGCGAAACCCATCCAACTTGAAGGAGCTGGAGCAGTTTTGCCTTGAAGAATGGGCAAAAATCCCAGTGGCTAGATGTGCCAAGAGACATAAGGTGCTCTTCAAAAGGTGGCTCTACAAAGTATTGACTTTGGGGGGGTGAAAAGTTATGCAAGCTCAAGTTTTCTGTTTTTTTGTCTTATTTGTTGTTTGTTTCACAAAAAGTGGTAGGCATGTTGTGTAAATCAAATGATACAAACCCCCCAAAAATCAATTTTAATTCCAGATTGTAAGGCAACAAAATAGGAAAAATGCCAAGGGGGTGAATACTTTCGCAAGCCACTGTAGTCGTAACTGACCCTTATTTAGTCAGTCACAATATGGCCTTATATAAATGGTCCTCCAAGGAGGAAGGACCCGCTTGCTGCCTGGTACAGGACCATAGCTTGCTGTCTGGTACAGGACCATAGCTTGCTGCCTGGTACAGGACCATAGCTTGCTGCCTGGTACAGTTTCTCTAGAGATAAATCAGATCAAGCCTGAACTGTGCGATGTAGTAGGGAGTTATGCTACATAGTTTAGCGCAGAAAATGTGGTAATTAACTACAATGACCATAATCCATTGCGCGCCTACCGCTCTGAGACGGAGAGAAGAGTGAGAAGAACGTGCGATCAAGAGGGATAGAGAGCAGTTGCTTCGTGAGGTACCTCTACCTGAAAATACATTATCTAAGATTGATAGTTGGTATTCAGCAGTCATAAAAGTATGCCTTATTTACTTTGAAGAACTACTAAAATAGTGATTTTGTCCGACTGCATAGGTAGCAGCTCTATAGAGATGAGATGATTTGGAATTAAATAATGAAGCCATCAAATAGGCCTAAAACAAATGTAATACACACGACAACTGAAATATATTTTTTAAGTAATGTGAATACATTATGGTTAATAAGTGATAAGAAGTAATGGGTAGTCACTACCATCATGGGACTTATTATTCATTGTTTTATTCTGTGTTACAGCATTCAACCCACATAGTACATTTAATGTCTAAAAAGATTATCAAACTAAAACCGAACCGACCTCAAAAAGCACTAATCTCTCAGTACTCCTTGCTGGTCCACCTATGGTACAGGAGCTTAGCTTGCTGGTCCACCTATGGTACAAGAGCTTAGCTTGCTGGTCCACCTATGGTACAGAGCCATAGCTTGCTGGTCCTCCTCTAATACAGCGCCATAGCTTGCTGGTCCACCGATGGTACAGGACCATAGCTTTCTGGTACAGGACCAAAGCTTGCTGGTCCTCTTCTGGTACAGGACCATAGCTTGCTGGTACACCTCTTGTACAGGACCATACACTACATTATCAAAATTATGTGGAAACCTGCTTGTCGAACATCTCATTTCAAAGTCATGGGCATTAATATGGAGTTGGTCCCCCTTTTGCTGCTATAACAGCCTCCACTCTTCTGGGAAGGCTTTCCACTAGATGTTGGAACATTGCTGCGGGGACTTGCTTCCATTCAGCCACAAGAGCATTGGTGAGCTTGCAGTCGGCGTTCCAATTCATCCCAAAGGTGTTTGATGGGGTTGAGGTCAGGTCTGTGTGCAGGCCAGTCAAGTTCTTCCACACCGATCTCGAGAAACCATTTTAGTATGGACCTCGCTTTGTGCACAGGGGCATTGTCATGATGAAACAGGAAAGGGCCTTCCCAAAACTGTTGCCACAAAGTTGGAAGCACAGAATCGTCTAGAATGTAATTGTATGCTGTAGCGTTAAGATTTCCCTTCACTGTAACTAAGGGGCCTAGCCCGAACCATGATAAACAGCCCCAGAACGTTATTCCTCCTCTACCAAACTTTACAGTTGGCACTATGCATTCAGGCAGGTAGCGTTCTCCTGGCATCCACCAAACCCAGATTAGTCCGTCGGACTGACAGATGGTGAAGCGTGATTAATCACTCCAGAGAACACGTTTCCACTGCTCCAGAGTCCAATGGCGGCGAGCTTTACACCACTCCAGCCGACGCTTGGCATTGCGGATGGTGATCTTAGGCTTGTGTGCGGCTGCTCGACCATAGAAACCCATTTCATTAAGCTCCCGACGAACAATCCTTGTGCTGACGTTGCTTCCAGAGGCAGTTTGAAACTCGGTAGTGAGTGTTGTAACCGAGGACAGACGTTTTTTATGCGCTATGCACTTCAGCACTTGGTTGTCCCATTCTGTGAGCTTGTGTGGCCTACCACCTTGCGACTGAGTCATTGTTGCTCCTAGACATTTCCACTTCACAATAACAGCACTTAGAGTTGACAGGGGCAGCTCTAGCAGGGCAGAAATTTGACGAACTGACTTGTTGGAAAGGTGGCATCCTATGACGGTGCCACGTTGAAAGTCACTGAGCTCTTCAGTAATGCCATTCTACTGCCAATGTTTGTATGGCTGTGTGCTCGATTTTATACACCTGTCAGCAGCGGGTGTATATATAGTGTAGGTAGGGTTAAAGTGACTAGGCGACAGATTAGATAATAAACAGTAGCAGCAGCGTATGTGATGAGTCAAATAGGTTAGTGCAAAAAGGGTAAATGCAGATAGTCTGGGTAGCTATTTGGTTAACTAATTAGGAGTCTTATGGCTTGGGGTAGAAGCTGTTCAGGGTCCTGTTGGTTCCAGACTTGGTACATCGATACCACTTGCCATGTGGAAGCAGAGAGAACAGTCTATGACTTGGGTGGCTGGAGCCTTTGACAATTTTTAGGACTTTTCTCTGACATACTAGATATTCATAGTCGAAGCGCCATTTTGAATTCTTCGAATGGCTGTATAGTGCGTTTTTTAACCATTTTATATTTTTAAAGATAAAATTGGCTGCCTCTCTGTAGCGCCTTGCGGTTGGATGCCAAGCAGTTGCCATACCAAGCGCTGATGCAGCCAATCAAGATGCTCTCAATGGCAAGGGAGAGCCTTGTATGGGTTTATGTGTGTGGAGTAAAGGTGATCTAGAGCTACAACTCGTTGAGTGCAGTCTTAGTGCCAGCATCGGTTTGTGGTGGTAAATAGACAGCTACGAAAAATATAGATGAAAACTCTCTTGGTAAATAATATGGTCTACAGCTTATTATGAGGTATTCTAACTCAGGGATCGCACACTAGCTGTAGTTAACAAAGAGACACACCCCTACCCCTTCGTTTTACCCGAGGCTGCCGTCCGGTCTAGACGATGCATGGAAACATCTCCGAGAAACATAAGGCGCGTTCACACAGCACCTTAGCCCAGGGCTAAGAGCCTCCTTAGGCTAAGGGAGATTTTAGCCCGGGGCTAAGAGCCTCCTTAGGCTAAGGGAGATTTTAGCCCGGGGCTAAGAGCCTCCTTAGGCTAAGGGAGATTTTAGCCCGGGACTAAGAGCCTCCTTAGGCTAAGGGAGATTTTAGCCCGGGGCTAAACGAGTGTTCACACCTGCACATTCTAAAGTGGGCAAGCAACAACCTTAGCCCAGGGTTAGCTGGCTCTGCTCCGGAGCAGGGTTAGCACCGACTTTTCGGGGTTAGCCCCAGAAACACGGTGCCAAAATAGCCAGTGTGAAACGGAGTCAAGAATAACGCCTAGAATGCTCACTCTCAAATCACAAAAGCGCCACTTTCAATTCATTTACATGCTTGTGATGCCTGTAATGTGTTCTACACGTTATTTTGAGAAGTAAATTCATACTATTTAATCCTTCCATCTGAGGACAAAAAACTAAATACAGTACTTTCATCCACACAAAAACATTGGTTGCTATGCCTAACAAAAATGGTTGCTATGCAGGCTGGGTAAGTCTTCAGCAACGGGTGTGGCTGAAATAGCCGAATCCACTAAATTGAAGGAGTGTCCACATACTTTTGTATATATAGTGTAGCTTGCTGGGACACCTATGGTACAGGGCCATGGTATACACATAGAAGAAAACTTTGAAGAAATGATGGTGGAAAGAATGAAAAGGCTTCACTGCATGGCAAACCCCTGCTGACAGTAAACATCATCAGTATTGTGTGTTTTTACGATGATGAGCGCACAGCTCCTGTCATTAGGTTAATGGAGACAAGCCTGCAGGTGTCAACTGTTTCCCACAACTCATCCATTCCATTCAGGATCAATTTGCACATATAGGCGGCAATGTGTAGAGCATCTTATCTCCACCCCCGCCCCCCGTCTGTCTCTCTCTCGACTGTTCCGACATTATTGACTAGGCACAAGTGGAAAGTCGATCGGGTTAATTGATTAGTTTGTTTGTGTGCGTCAATGTTTAATTGATGGAGGAAAGGTTGACATTGGAAAGACCAGTAGTTTCTGTCTTCTTCTTTTCCTCCCAGTTAAATTCAAACTGATGGGCTTCTATACAGTCAAAACATACTTTACTGATCGTTACAAGCTTATGAACTTTATGGTCAGGAATGTTACACATTTGCAGCCAGCAGTGGCTTTCTAGATGGATGCAGCAGGTGGCTGGCTGTTCATTAATGATGATGAGCATCTGGCCTCTGAGATGCATGCTGTGGATGTTGCTGTACTCTTGTGGCGGGAATATGAATTACAGCCTTTGAAAGTCAGTCTGTATTTGTTCTAATGATTATGTAACCTAAGTAACCTTGCAAATTACATTTCATGTCTTCCAGTTGGCTCTATATTTGTGGCTGATTTATATTCCAACTAAGCATTTCAGATATATTTGCATATTTGGGAGGTAGTCCTAGAAAACAAAGGAGTTGATTCATGCAATAGAAACATCTCACCATTTATTTAATTATGATCTGTATCTAAATACAAACATTATTGAAACTGTCTGATGTACATTTTCACAGTGTCAAACACATATCTAATGGTGTATCATATTGGTAGAATGAGATAAACGAAGAGAATGAGAAGAGATCTGTTAATTGAAGCCCAAACCCAATTTTAGACCCATCCAACACCTATGCCTATAGAATCATCAAGTGCGTCGGTGTAGGGGCTAGGGGTCTATCTGGGATTGGGTGTGACTGTCCTCTCCCCCCTCTCTGTGTCCCTCCCCAGGAGAAGCAGGAGGAGTTGGAGGAGCTGAACAAAGAGTTGAGGCAGTGTAACCTGCAGCAGTTCATCCAGCAGGCAGGAGTCCTGCCGACACACACACACTCACGCACAGACCTCAGCGACCAGCTGGACCAGCTTGAACTGGCTCATCTGCTACAGGAAAGATACAGGAACGGAGGTACCGAGATACACACACACACACACACACACACACACACACTCAGATGATTGCTCCTCCTTAACCTCCATCTCTCTCTCCACAGGCCTGGGCCTGCTCTCCTCAGAGTCGCCTCCCCGGCCCACAGCCAAGCAGTTCCTGGGACACCCCCGCAACCTGCAGAACCCGCTGGTGTCCAGCCTCAACCCAGAGGGTGTGTATGTGTGACACTACCTGCCGCTACCCCGCCCTGTCCCACTCCGGCCTGCCCCCCTGCCCCTGCCTCAGCTTGACTTTTTGGGCCATGCCTTGCGACCACACTCCTCTGTTCTGGTACTAAGGGTAGAGGTCCCTGCATGGAGCCCCCAACCCCCTCCCACCCCCCCCCAAGGTTTCCCTTCACCTTTTGCTGTCCTCTGACTGCCCCTTATGGCTCTAATGCTATTTGCTTATCTGATCATTCTGGTTCTGTTATATTGGTCCGTCTACAATTATGCTTTTCAACTCTGCTTTGCTAACATCTTATGCACATATGCACATCTCCCCTCCCTCTTCTCTCTGTTTCTTTCCACCCACTCCCTTTTTCCCTTACTTTATGTCTCTCTCTCGACCCCCACTCTTTCTGTTAGTCTCTCTCTCTCTCTCCCCCCCCCCCCCCCCCCCCCTGTGTTGTGGACTAACAGTAGCTCTGACTCCTACTGCTGCAGCTGTACTGTAACACCCAGGCGGGTGATACAGCTGTGAGTTATTTCTGAGTCCCCCCCTCCTCTCTCTCTCCCTCCAGTCAGTCCAATGACGCAGGGCGTCTTTCCACCCTCAGAACAACAGGCCTGTTCTCCACAAACAGCTGTGTCTCAACAGAAACACACTGTTACGCTGTCACCACTCTATTTCTGTATAAAAGAGTGGGCCTCATTTAAGTGCAGAAATGTTATTGGGGAAAAAATACAGATTTGTGCTGCTTACAATTGATAAATGAGGCTCAATGACTGACCATTCTGACTGTAGTGTAAAATACAATTGTGTTTGGTTATTGTGTCAGAGAGCCTTTTTCTGTCTCTGTTTGGGGGATTACTTCCATATTGCCTTGTATGTTGGTGACCTTTGACTTCCAAAGAGAAAGAGAGAGCCTGACCTTAGAGCGCTGTAAGGTGAATTGCACAGTCCCTTCTCTCCCCTGTCTGAATATTTCAAACATGCATCCTTCAAGTTATTTCGGATGTTCTGATATTTCAGATTAGTCATTACTTCTAAGGACAGAGAATGGAACAATGCATTTCAGAAGTATTGAAACATGGCCATGGCCTAGTATGTGTGATGTTGGGTTTGTTCCTAACTGGGTTTCTGCAGTGTGTGTGTTTGTCTGCTCTCTCCTTCCTCCCTCCTGGTTGCTGAGGGTATTTGGGCGGTTTCTCTGGCTTTAATGGGGAAATAGAGGTAGCATGCTTGAGGTAGAAGTTGCCCCTCACCACAGATCTAGGATCAGATGCCCCTAACCCAATCCATTGGGTGGTTAAATAAGAACTGACCCTGAATGAGTGGTTAGGGCCAACTTCTACCCACTCCCAGGGCATGATTTACCATCTATATCTACCAAGCTCTCCCTTCACCTTAACAAGAAAAGTGTTTTCAAGAAAAGTGTTTTCAAACCAAATGAAGGGAGACATCATCCCAACTTATTTTTGTGTGTCTTGCAGTCGTGACATCCAGAGAGTCGTCATGGAGATAAAACAAGGAACGGCAGGGCCAAGGAGTTGTTCACTGTTCACTTAATGTCACCACCACATATTCTATTTAACCCGTCTGTCTTTATACCTACTGTATGTCTTTATTATTATCATCCAGATTACCACATATACTATATACATACTGTATATACTAGCTACATAAATATATTTACAGCATTTTGCTACTGTACACTGCAAAGTACCTATGTATGAAATGTAAAATTATTTAGGAAAACCTTTACCTAGAGAATTATTACATTGTCTGTGTATTTAAATATAATAAAAGATTGTGCACTGTGTGTTAGATACACTTTGTTGTTGTGTTTTGATTGAATGAAACCATTAAATCCTCCCCATGACCACATCATATTTGCATAATATATACTTGCATATACAGGCCTGGTTTAGTGATGCAATAGGATATGGCAAGGATGGACCGAATATTTCACATGCTAGTGCATAAAACTGACTCAAAACTCCATTCTCCCTTTCGATGAGGCACATTTGTTTAATGATTTAGAACGCGCATGCCCCGCCCACCTGAGGATCTGTCTTTTTCAGCAATCTATTTCCTGTGTTTGAGGGGTGCAATATCCACTTGTCACTTAAATCTCGCTGGATTGAGTGCTTTCTTTTGACTCCTGTGGCTTTTTCATACTCTTGCTTGTGCCCCATTAACGTTACGAGCGCGGAAATGTTTGGAATGACCTGGCAAACACACTAATGGCTGAAATGGGATCAATGGAATACATTGTATTTCCCTTGAATCTATAAGAACTCTAAAGCTTTGTTGGGGATTTAACGCATTCTCTCGACACTTACATCACACGAAAGAGAAGAAAGGGAACTGTATTTTGATGGGTATAAATTATTTGTGGAATTACAAATATTCATAATTTAATACAGTTGACATTTTACAAATTAGATGTGCTGAAATTAAAGCAACTTTCGAAAATGAACACTCAGATTATAGCAGGGGCGCAACTTTGGTTTTAGAAGTGGGGGGGGACATAATAATTATTATTTATTATTTTATCAGGTCGGATAAACACTCCAAAAGAGCCTACCCGACCTCTCAGAGGCGTCCGCATGGTCCTGAACCACACCTTTGCCTCGTTTTGTATCACATTCCGATGATAAAACTGGGGGGGGGACAGAAATTCAATTTCAGAATGTGGGGGGGGGGGGGGGGGGACATGTCTCCAGTGAAAGTTGCGCCCCTGGATTATAGTGATATTATGTTTGGATCTGTGTAATCTAGAGCCATGCATGTTGATTTTTAATCCGAGGGTATCCTGCTATTGACACAGTTGTTGAATTATGCACATGACAACAACAGTAATTAATGAGGCAGTTTAGACAGCGCAGGTGAGTGCTGGTAGGGTAGATGGAGCAAATGTTTGGTGGTTGCAACCCTGTTCCACCCTGTTATGTTAATTTATTAATATATGCAAATACACCTGTAATGTATTTTATTTTTACACAAAATATATTTAAAAAAAAAATAGCTGATACAATACGAAAATGTATACACTCACCGGTCAGTTTTAGGTACACCACCCTGTTCCCGAAAATGGATCGCTCCTACAGACAGGGAGTCACGTGGCAGGCAGACAGGCATCGAGGCATTCAGTTACTTTTCGATTGAACGTTAGAATGGGCAATATGAGTGAACTTCGCGACTTTGAGCTTGGTATGATCATCGGTGCCAGGCGCCCCGGATCCAGTATCTCAGAAACTGCCGCCCTTCTGGACTGCACAACTCATCGATCCTTGTTACGGATGGGCTATTACAGCAGACAACTACACAGGGTTTGACTCCTATAAGCTAAAATCAAGAAGAAGGGGCTCCAGTGGGCACGCGATCACCAACACTGGACAATTGAGGAGTGGAAAAACATCACTTGGAACATGACAGCGAGTTCAGTTTAGTTGAGTGGCCTGCAGACCTCAACTGAATAGAGCATCTTTGGGCTGAGATGAAACGGGCTGTTTGCAGCATGAATGTACCGCCGACCAATCTGTAGCAACTGCGTGATGCCATTGCGTCAGCATGGACCAACATCCCTGTGGAACGTTTCCGACACCTTGTAGAATTCCCAGAATAATTCAGGCTGTTCTGGAAGCAAAGGGGGGTCCGACCCAGTACTACACTGAACAAAAATATAAATGTAATGTGAAGTGTTCGTCTCATGTTTCATGAGCTAAAATAAAAGATCCCAAAAATGTTCTATATGCAGAAAAAGCTTATTTCTCAAAAATGTTGTGCACAAATTTGTTTACATCCCATTTCTCCTTTGCCAAGATAATCCATCCACCTGACAGGTGTGGCATATCAAGAAGCTGATTAAACAACATGATCATTACACAGGTGCCCCTTGTGCTGGGGACAATAAAAAACACTCTAAAATGTGCAGTTTTGTCACACAACACAATGTCACAGATGTCTCAAGTTTTGAGGGAGCTTGCAATTGGCAAAGAATTGAATGTTAATTTCTCTACCATAAGCCACCTCCAACGTCGTTTTAGAGAATTTGGCAGTACATCCAACTGGCCTCACAACCGCAGACCACGTGTATGGCGTCGTGTGGGGGAGCGGTTTGCTGATGTCAACGTTGTGAACAGAGTGCCCCGTGGTGGTGGGGTTATGGTATGGGCAGGCATTAGCTACGGACAACGAACACAATTGCATTTTATTGATGGCAATTTGAATGCACAGAAATACCGTGACGAGATCCTGAGGCCCATTGTGAGGCCCATTTTTTTAAAGGTATCTGTGACCAACAGATGCATATCTGTTTTCCCAGTCATGTGAAATCCATAGATTAGGGCCTAATTTATTTATTTCAATTGACTGATTTCCTCATATGAACTGTAACTTCTTTGAAATTGTTGCATTTATATTTGTGTTCAGTATAGATGGGTGTACCTAATAAACTGTATAAGTGCATAAAAAAAAGTGAAAATTGACATTTAATTGAATACCTGTATTCCCACCTAAATCCATGAACTCCATTATTTGTCCGTGCCAGTAAAATGTTTTATGTGCTATAATTCAGTCAATATCTGATGAATTATAAAAATTCAAAGTTTGGAGTGTTTTCATCCATTGTCCAACTTGCATTTATTAGAATTGTTTTAAAAACATTTTAACAATTTGGATAACCGTTGCTAGTTTAATGAATTATACATTTTATAAAGGCTGCTATATGGAGCTGTTTTGAATGGTTACGGCAACACTTTCAATACACTGTGAGTGACAGAAAGCACATTAAATACATTATACACATGATGTGGCTCATACAATGTTACCAAAATGTCACCCTTCGTGCGGGAGGGAAGTAGAGAACACATGGAGGGTGATATAATACAGTACACATACAGTACATGTGACCTAGCACCAGGTGCTATGGAGTCTACTATGCTATGCTGACGTGTCCACTCACAAGATGGCTGAACATGCACATTTAATGCACACTAATTCTCTACTCAAGTGCTTCTTCATGCCATATACGCAACACTTCCCAGGCTCCAGTCCAGGCCTCTGCTCTTATCTCAAGCCACAGTGACTTGCCATGGTATTTGAACATAGAAAATAAAATGGGAACTTGTTCACAAAACAAACATGACAGAGTGCAGAACTAGGAACAATGACAGTACAATCTAGTTTTTTATTCATTTAGCAGACACTCTTATCCAGAGCGACTTAACAGGAGCAATTAGGGTTAAGTGCCTTGCTCAAGGGCACATCAACAGATTTCCACCTAGTCAGCTTGGAGATTCGAAGCAGCAACCTTTTGGTTACTGGCCCAACACTCTTAACCGCTAGGCTACCTACCGCCCTGATAGTGTATTTAACAGAGTAGATAGTGATGAAAAGTCAAATGTCTATATTCACAGTTTGCCTTTCTGTAATGCTTGTTAGTCATCTCACTACTACAGTAAGTGATATCATAAACAGTGAGCTGACCCCGACTCTGGACTCTATTCACATTACACAGTCCTCCTCTCTGAACCCATGTCAGATGACCCAGTCTCACCCTTCTCCCTCTCTCTGTGTATACCTGTGAGAATAAACATGGTGGCTGTCTGACGGAGTGTCCCATGAACTACCACTATGCTGAAACAAACTCTGCTTAGCTGCTCCACAGCTCTGTAAATATTTGTCCTTGCAACCACATAAAAAGATTCCTCTCCCCTTTACATACTGTCTCTGCACCTCTATATTTATAAAACATTTCCACCCTTCAATAGTTGTATAATGACTTTGCCTAAGTCAGCATTTCTCTACATTCCTGTTTTAACTCTTACCGCTGTGGGATGGGGGAGTAGCTGAGGTACATATGTTTGTCAGAGCTACTTGAAAGGACTAGACGGTTCTGATATTAAGATTAATTATGTGGAATTTGATTATGGTGATAAGATCAGGACACGTCTGCCTTGGCTGGAGATAGATAAGCCCCGGAATCCCTGCAGTTCCCATAGTCTGGAGAGAGCGAGGGAGACAGAGAGAGGGAGGGCTAGAGAAGTGGGGGAAAGAAAGTAGCGAGAGGGGGGGACAGTTCTCGGACCTGGTATGACATGGGAAGCTCTCTCACACACACACTGAGCTGTTGCAGGGTCACACTGATATGAGCATGCAGCAGAAGTGGAACACTAAATGCTAATGTTGTGTGATCAGTCTCATGGTAAGTTAAGAGAGAGATGTGGAAAACTACAATTTCTGAAACACAGACGGAGTAAAATATATGTTTTCCTATCAGGGATTATCACACTGGAAGGCCTTCCAGTTTAGGAGCAGTTTAATCACATCCAGTTAGTCTCTAATCTTTTGAAATGTCCCATTTGTGGCCTGTAACCACTCACAGACAAAACAGTCACACAGGCACTACCTCTCTTTCACACACACACACGCACACACACAACCTCACCCACTCAAAATCTAACCTTAAGGACAGCAATCTCACAAACAGGAGAAAACTAACAGATTCTGATGGGTTGGCAGGGCATCTACCCGTTTAGGGCATTATGTTTGCTCACAAATACCATACCACTCAAAATGGATCCTCTCTCACCGAATCTGTTTAGGCTGGTTCAGCAAGAGGTAAGGCTAACTTTTTCCTTTTGGATATGGAAACTTGATAAAATGACCTTAACCAGACAGAACAATATGTATATAAAATGTAACTAGACAGGATGTGGGTTGGAAGTCATGGCATTGAATAGCACCATGTTCTTATCACTAGAAAGTGAGGGAGCCCTGTCCAAAAACAACCCTAACCCCTAACCATTTGTGTAGGTAAGAAAGGATTGGATAGGTATAAGCAATATGGTGGCAGCTCCACTTTTGCCATATGCTTATACCTATCCAATAATTTCAGATGTACAGTACACGTGCCTGAATCTAAGAGGAAGGGGGCTAGAGGCTGTTTGTGGCCT